ACATGGATCGCGCCTAAAGGGATGACGAGTATCGAGATCGGCTTCAACTGCTCGAAAAACAGTGATCCTAAACATCCTAAACAAAGCGGTAGTGTCATCATCTTACATCGCCAGCGTTTACAGACTGGTGCTGGGCAAACTAACCTTCGAGGAGAATATCGAGGGTAATGCAATGCAGATGGCCAGTCGCAACCAACTACCTGAAGTATTAGACGAGGCGATGCTTCAAGCGCTCATTTCGAGGGAAAACTGGAGACAAGCTTGCGAGACGGTCGGCGAGAAATTGAGGCACTGCGAAAAGTCAGCCGTCGTGATAGCATCAAACAGACGAAATTGCAGGATTTTGGAAGAAAGAAAGTGTTTACCAGAGAACCGGACGAAGAAAAAGAGGGATGGGACCGACAGAGTGGAGTAATCGCCTCTTAAGAAACTTTTTTCTGAGCAGAGGAAGCGGAAGACGGAGTTCGAGAAAATTAAAGAAAGCAGTCGAAGACCTTAGAATCTCAGACAACGCAAGAGAGAATAGTTAAAAGTTTTTTAACAGTCAAAACTCACAGCGTTGAGAAACTGGGATAGAGCATTAGCGTCTATCCCAGTTGAGATGTATTTTCTCTGCATGAGCATTTCCATCCAGTTCTTTGCGTCAAAACACGCCCCAACAAACCTCCGGATGCAAGTGCACTCCTTGCGTTCACAAGCAATGTTCATTATGCCCAGGAAGATGAGGTTCGACAGTTAAAATGATGAGAGCAGGTGATCGAGTGCTGTAAAGGGCTCTAGTAGAGATGCTCTGTTGCTAAATGGGAAAAGAAAAGTTACCATAAGTCTTGAAGGAGTCAAAAACACCCATGCTGTTCAGGAAGGTAGAGATGTAAGCTTTGAAGTACTACCATCTAATCTGTCTGCTTTCAAGTGTCTACCTGGAGTCACTAAGATCATCGCCAACTGACTGTTATCCAGTGGGGAGGAATAACTGCCAAGAGATCCGGCAGGATTACGATGGAGCTACAGCGCGAAAGTAATGTCTTTGCCTTAAGTGAAATTCTTTAACGTGTAAGGGAATTTCAGATATGTAGGAACGTCCTTCGTCTGGCACGAGAAAGCGTCCTTCACTGTCGAACAAGAAGCTGTGGAACGGCAATGGCAGAAGAAGCCATCGACACCCATTGCATGAACCTGCTAAAGGAAAGTTACTCTGGCGGCTACGCAAACATCTTGCTGTTGTTGAACAACCCGTCAGGATTGTCGTACAGAAAGGCAGAAAATAAGGGTCTCTCCATCTCGCCAAAACTCTTCAGTGACTGTTTGGAAACGGACAGGATGAACTGAAAGGGGACAATCCATCTCTGGAACTGGAAGGGGATTTTGCTCGAGCTCTCCTGGGAAAATCCATCTTTTCCAGTTTGGCAGGTGGATTTTTGTTCTTTGAAAGACGGTACTCCCTGTTTTCCCGAGGTAACATTTCCCGCAGTTATATAGTGGTTTGTAAACCCAGTTAAGATCTTTGTTATTCTCAGTATTAGTTAGCAACGCATAACGCTTATCTGAGATTTATATACAACTTAATATTATATTTAATGTTACGTGATCTTAATAACTTTTCACTTACATTTTTACGATGAGGTGCAATTAGGCATGGTTTATTAATTAAAATGCAATTTTTCACCTAATTGGTGTTATGTGTAAATTTAAATTAACTTATTGTACGGTTTATTTTATTAGCGAGCTAAACAGGATAATTATTTTTTGCTACACGAGGTTGCCTTAACATGTTATATTTTTCTTTAAGAAATTGATTACAATTGAGTTTAAGTGCTGTGTATTAAAGCCATATTTACAGACCCTTAGCTACTCAAATGATAAATGAATCAAAGTTGAGATATTTGTCAGTGATGGTAGGTTTAAGACAAACTTAAGTTTTACATCAATTTCCAGAGTTAATTATTAAGACATTAAGGTAGGGTGACTTGGCCTATTTTCTCTTTCAATAGTACGATAGATAGCTTATGGGAAGAGGCCACTGAGGGGGTTTGACACTTCATTTTCGTTTCTACTGGGATACATGGCAAAAATATTATCAACATATCTTTAATACAGCTTAAAAAGCACTGCTAGTTCCTCCCTTGGACATAACTTAGAAATGTTTCATAAAAATGTTGGTAAGAGTGAG